ATATATATATATATATATATATATATATATATATATATATATATATAGGTTAATCGTGAATATAGTACTCCCTACCACCTTGTGCATGTGCGTATTGTCTTTTTCCAAATTTGTGTATTCTTCTTCATTTTTTATTATTTCATACGTGTCTTTTTTCTGTATAATTAGAACATGCTACTGGATGCCTTGAATTTCCCCCTGGGATTAATAAAGTATCTGTCCACGAGTCAAATCGAGTGCGTACTCTTAGCAATTTTCTCAAAAAGGCCATTTTTGAGACGCTCAGACGTGGATAATTATTGTCAAAGTAAAATATGAGACGGGGATTTTACTGTTTTCTGTAAGTAATGGTTTATTTGAGGAACGCCTCAAATATATTTGAAGAATGGGGACGTCGGCGTGCAGATGAGGTTGTCGTGACCTGCCTTGTAGCGTTGTCCTCCGATTGTTGTGCTTTCTGTCATGTTTGACTCAGAACGCCGCAGGCATATGTGGATTAGGGGTATTATACGGATACAATTCAAATTGCTCCTGAAAAGAGGGGGAAGCGTGGGCATCTGATCAAATGGTACGACCTAGTTGAAGTTTATTTCTCTGAAATACGTTGCGTCAGACAGCAGCTGCAAAATGTTCCGGGTCTTTTAAAAACACATTATCTAAACTCTCCAACTGTCAAAGCAATCATTTTAGTCCACAGTTTTTATTTTTCTTGTGGCTGCTAGGCTATAAATTAAATTCTTGCAAGCACAAAGTTTTTCAGACCCTAAAATAAAGTCTTTCTAGACTTGCATGCTGTGGTTGAATATTGAGTAGGATGGTTTATTCTGGTAAATTCAGGTGCAGTTTAACCTCGTTCGGTCCATTCGAGCCTGAAAGGGTTCACAGACCTGTTTTCTCTACAAGCTAATCCTTTAGAAAGCTAAGCTGCAACAGGAAGGAACTCCAGGAAATGACTTAGTGTTCCTGGCAACACTTCCAGGAAGTGGCTCCATACGTAGCGATGCCAGTTGGAGAGCGAATAAAAGAACCGTTTTATATTTTTGCATGCTTGTTAGGAGCGAGGGTTCTGGAGCAACTGAGTGTTTAATTTCTTCACAGCTCAGTGGACATCAATGCAGATCCCAAATTGGAATTTATGCTTGTGAATCATTTGTATACGCTTTCATATTTCATTCTTGTTTTCCCTGTTTTCAAACATCTTCCGTTTTACACCCGGAATAAATTAGTCTCTGCTGATGTCACATGCACGTGCATGTCATCCATTTGCGTGTGAATGTGTAATTATGTGTCCCAGTCATTGAGTAATTTCTCCAGGGCTCAGGTCTGCAGCAGCAAGGTTTTGTGAGGACAGCGTCCTGGTTTAAACTCCCTCTTTTGGCACCTCCTTCCTCTCTGCTCTCTGTATCACGTTTTCTCCCAATTCCTCCCTCCTCTGAGCCCTTCCTCTTCCTCAAGTTTCCTCTTTAGTAACTTTTATTAAGTTTTCAATGCCCAGCTTCAAATATCAGGTTTACATAGAAAAGTACAAGACAAAGGTAAAATGAAAACGACGGAAGTGGTGTGGGAACAGGGTTTGTGTGAGAAAAAAGAAACGTTAAAAAAGATGAGGAGGTGGCGCAGAGGGAGTGGCGGGGCTGAGCTTGATCTGAGATTCGAGATGCCTTTCGTGCCTGGAGACAAGAAAATACAGAGACTGTAGCTGATCAGGGTGCAGAGGTCTAGTTTTGCTTGCAGCATTGTTTTCACCAGGAATTTTTATGTTTGTATTCAAGCATTTTGCAAATGAGCTTTGTACAGTGTTCTTTTTTCCCACCATGCAAAATAAAATTTTTATTTAAAGTTTTAAAAAACACACACTAAAACAATCTTTTGTTAGTTTACTACTTTGTGAAAAAGTTGGTTAAATGTGACTATCAGAGAGTGGTACAGGGATAGAAGATGATCATGTGTTAAATTAAAAAAGACTGAGTTTATCGACTGATGTTTATATTAATAAAATATACAGGATTGTGACATTGGTAAGAACTCAAGATGTGTTTGCTGTCTTTTTTGCAGAAGTGTTCAGGTACAGATCTTTGGTTACATACAAGCAAGAGGCCGCTGTGAATTAGAACAATTTGTTTTCTTTTTATTCTGCACTTCAATTTATTTTGGCATACTCTTACCAGGAAATGGAAGAATTTTAACTTTCTCCTAAAGTTCCCATTCATTTTTTTTCTCTTTCTACCCTGCAGCCTGCCACCACCCTCACATTAGGGATCGCCTTGTATCGATCTCACACTCCATTTAAATTCAATTCAGTTCATTTATGTAGCGCCAATTCACAACAGAAGTCGTCTCAGGGCACTGAACAGAAACATTCATATTTAAAAATAATAATTTAACATTATTTATCTGAGGAGCAGACGGATTTGAATTTAACTCCATCGCAGAACTCTCTTCTTGAGCAAGCATGAAGGCGACAGTGGAAAGGGAAAAACTCCCTCATGAGGAAGAAACCTTTAGCAGAACCAGGCTCAGGACAAGCGGCCATCTGCTTCGACTTTCTGGGTTTGAGAGGAACAGAAAGGAGGAACAGAAACACAATGGCAGGTCGAGAATCAAATGTTAAGATAGAAATTATTTCAAATGAAAACTATTTTTTTAAGGAAATGAGATCAGTTTGTCCTCCAGTAGTCTAAGCCTATAGCAGCATACCAAGCCAACCAACTATAGGATTTATCAAAAAGGAAAGTCTTCAGCTCAGTCTTAAAACTGGACAATGTGTCAGCCTCATGGACAGAAACTGGAAGTTGGTTCCACAAGAGAGGAGCCTGATAACTGAAAGATCTTCCTCCCATTCTGCTTTTGGAAACTCTAGGAACCGCAAGTAAGCCAGCTGTTTGAGAGCAAAGTGCTCTGTTAGAAAAGTATGGGACAACAAGCTCTTGAATATAAGATGGAGCTAGGTTGGTGAGAGCTTTGTAGGCTAGAAGTAAAGTTTTGAATTAAATTCTGAATTTGACCTTTTTGTCTCCTGTTTTTTGCTGTAAAGGTTGACACAAGTTTACAAACTGTTTGTTTTCATCCATCCATCCATCCATTATCTTTACCCGCTTATTCCATTTTGGGTCACGGGGGTCGCTGGTGCCCATGTCCAGCAGTCACTGTGCGAGGGGCGGGGTACACCCTGGACGGGTCGCAAGTCCATCACAGGGACACATGGAGACAAACGAGACAAACAAGGGTTTGAACCAAGGACCTGCTCGCTGAGAGGCAGCAGCTCTACCAGTTGCGCCACCGTGCTGCCCTGTTTGTTTTCATTTTCTGTTAAATTAACTTTCATTGCAAAAGAAAATAACTCCAAGAAGGAGCAAGCTAATTTGTTATCCACAGTCTTTTTCTGACAAAGTAAATGATCATCATGCCCATCTTCTGTGATCCTTTCCTAGAATTTCAACTCTTCACTGTATAATTTTACCACTGCCTCTTAAAATGAATGATTTAGCCCTCTGTGCGCAAAGCTTTTAATTGTGAACATAAGAATGTTAGTTTGCACGATTTAGTAAAAAAAAAAAAAAATCTCATTCTACATTGAAAATTTCAACAGGTTGCTCAACTTTTGTGTTATTCATACAGTATACTCATACTGTGTATTGAAAACACTTGTGTGCGTTCCATCCTGCTCAGATGCAGATGGTTTAGTGCCTCCATTCGGGAATCTGTCACTATGATTGTTTCTGATTAAAGAAATAGTCATTGTGAAAGAGGAAAACGGTGCTTTTTCTTTACATAACCAGGACTAGAAGAGCACTGAGTTTGGGGAACCTTGCTGTTTTCAGGTATTTACCCGAGGCGCAGGAATACGTTATAAAAATATTTTTCAAACCTCTCCCTAATTACTCTTTCGTAACCCAATTGCAGTGGAATGTACAGCAAGGGAACTGTTCAGATTGTGCTGCTATTAAGTATGCAAAAGTAGAATATGTGATATTTCTATAAGCATGAAACTTTAGCAGAATACCACTAAAAATGCAAAGTTTTGCAAACTATCTTTTGTTAGTAAAAGCTGTTGATCTGCTCTTATGCCGACTTAGTTTGTGCATACATATCCATCATTATGTGTGTTTGATTTAAATTTGACTGACATAAAGTAAATGGTTCTTCTCTGACATACGTTATGTGTGTAAGGTGGTCAAGATCAGAGAAGGCCCAATATAGAATAGTTCTTGCTGCCCCATCATGTGTGTCTTTTGAGAGATGTTTGCGTTCGAGGAATGTTAAAGGCATTACAGTAGTCCCTCGATAATTGCAAGGTTACGTTCCAGACACCACCGCGATAGGTGAAAAACCACGAAGTAGGAACACTATTTATTTTAGTATTTATATATATATTAAGGCTTTATAAACCCTTCCCACACTTTTGCATTGTTCTTTACAATGTTCTAAACTCTTCAACCTACGTAATTAAAGCAACATATGCATACTGATTTTATTCTCGAATGGGGCTCCTATCGAGTTTGTCGATTCCTAAAAATATTTGGGTGTCTTGGTCGATTCACATCTCTTTTTTTAAGCTCCACATGGATAACTTGATAACTGAAACTTCATAACTGTCTGTAACTACCGTGCTCACCAGTGCACCCTGTATTCACTGGTTAACTGGTCATCATTAACTTCACACAGACTCTCTCACTGGTACATTTTCATCTTTAAATCACTTCTTGGTCTGCTGCCTTCACATCTCCCCCTACACGTCTCTGCGTGAGTGCAGCTACAGCGTGCGCTCTCAGGACATTATTACATGCAGTGTTCCCTCAGTGC